CCTAGTCCCGTTAATGAGCAATTTGGGTTTTTCTTTTCCTCTGTAATCTTTTTAAACTTGGTAACGAAGCCTGCCTCAATGGGTAAGTGTTTATAAGCATCCGAGGAGCACGCAAGGAGGATTTTACAGGGGTAATTAAAATGCTTTATCCCTCTTATGGCTGTTGTAATATCTTATTAGATTTGGTTGAAAAGTGAAACATATTGTTCATGAAATGTGCACAGTGGCGGTATTAATGATGTGACCCCGTGGGGTTGCAAAGACCTGATTTAGCTGGTCTCAAATTGCATTTGCAGTTTCAGAAACGAACCAAACCAGCCGAGCTGTTTAGAATTATCGCTAATGGGGCTATATTGCAATGAAGAAAAAGAAATTTTTTTTAGAACAAAAAGAGACATTTGCAAGAAAACTTTGAGAGCTGGAGCATGGCATTCAGTAAGGACATAGGGAGCCACCTTACACCAAGTCAGACTATTGGTCCTTGTGGGTCAGTGTTGTCAACACTGACTGGCAGTGAGACCCCAGGATTTTAGACAGGGGAGGTTTTCCTGTTGCCACCAGGAGATGCTAAGAATTGAACTTGGGACATTTTGCACACAAAGCGGATTCTCTACTGGTGAACTACAGTGCTTTCCCCACATCTTCTCAGCACTCCAGCTGTGGCGACTCATGCTGGGCACTTGCCTCTGACACAGCTGTATCCCTCAAGGGCAGTTGTGATGCTCTACCCCATGGAATGCTGTGAGCCTTTTTTACCCTATGAGAGCTCTTGTGGCAATAACTAGGATGGGTGTCAGGAATGAGGCAGCTCCCAGCGAAAGTTTGCAGCCAACTTCAGAAAACAGTCAGGAACAGAGAGGCTTAGGTGTTAGTCAGGCAGGGGAGAGCCAGCAGATGCAGACTTCAGTTCTTCTTGACCTTGACGGAGAAGCTGATAAGGCAGTAGTTGAGAGCAGGGTAGAACACAGCCAAAGCTTGCAGGAAGCACAAATAGGCATGAATAGACTTAGAGACTGTTAATGCTTTGATTAGCCATAGTACTTTAATAATAATAAACCCCTCCCTTTTTATATCAGTGAGTAGTATGTGAGGTTTTGAGTGTCCTTCTCATTCTATTTAATTCCTTTATTTTCAACATCTTGCCAAGATGGATGGGACCATTGGTAAAGTGGCAGTCAGCTGTATGCTGACATTGTACTATCAGTCTAGGTATCTTATCTATCCTCCACGGATAGTGAACTCATTTTCGCAGTGCCCGTCTTTATATAGCTGAGAATCGCAAACTGGGGGAGAGCATTGTTGCACACTGGTCGTGTTTGCTGGCTTCCTATAGGCACCTGGTTGTGAGAAAAGGGATGGTGGTCTATACTGGCCTTTGGCCTGATTCAGCAGGGCTCTTCTTAGAATCGGATGTGGCCAAAATGGTCCCATCAGAGCACAACAGGAGGCAACAACAGGTTCAGTATGTAGAAGAACAAACAAGCAACCCTTAAGGGAGAAAATCATAAGCGGGCAACAGCAATAACCACCCACATTCCCAAACCCAAAACATCCCTAAGAGGACTAGGCACTGAGAATGCTCAGTGAGTACACAATGTTGCGTGCCTGCTGGGGAAAACTCTCTGAGAAAGTCGAGTGGGAATGGAATGGAGCATCATTTAATAGGGAATAACTGCCTACCTGCTTGGAGCCCTGAACAGGAGCACTCCATACTACACAGGACCCTACTTAAAATTTGTTTGCAGTGCTACAGATTCTGTGGGTGGAACCAGGCAGAGGGCCTTCTTGGTAGTGGCGCCCACCCTGTGGAACACCCTCCTATCAGATGTCAAGGAAATAAACAACTATCTGACTTTCAGAAGACATCTGAAGGCAGCCCTGTTTAGGGACGTTTTTAATGTTTTATCGTGTTTTTGATATTCTGTTGGGAGCCGCCCAGAGTGGCTGGGGAGGTCTTGCCAGATGGGCAGGGTATAAGTAATAAATCATCATCATCATCATCCTCTTGCTGTACATCCCTACCTGGTGTGTAATACAGTGGTACCTTGGGTTACATATGCTTCAAGTTACAGACTCTGCTAACCCAGAAATAGTACCTTGGGTTAAGAACTTTGCTTCAGGATGAGAACAGAAATTGCGCGGCAGCAGTGGGAGGCCCCATTAGCTAAAGTGGTGTCTCAGGTTAAGAACAGTTTCAGGTTAAGAACGGACCTCCAGAACAAATTAAGTACGTAACCAGAGGTACCACTGTAAAATCCTACCTGCTGCCCAATGGGATGGGCAGGTATTCAAGCTTCCCAAAACTGAGAAGGCTCATCCTGGGGTCAGTTGAGCATCTCTCTTTGCCTCTCTGACAAAAATGTGTCAGTCACATGTGTACACCAGTTTTCCCTTCAAGGAGTTCAGGACAGTGTGTGTGACATTATTCAATTTTCCCCCTGCCAAGTCCCTGTAGGGTGTGCTTAGATGAGAGACTTGAACAGTGACCAGAAGGGAGATAGCGAAGGAACCATAGGAAATGTAGGTTTGCAATGAAAAATATCATTGCAGCACCAGATGCAACTCAAAAGCTTTAATGGAGCATAAAGAAACTGGAAAGGTCATGTTTTTGTAGCCTCAGAACAGAGAACAATCCACTACTGGATGGCCTTTGAAAACCGAAAAAGTTAATGAACACAGTTCATGCTAATAAAATTGCATTGTTTCCATCCAAGAGTGTATATTTGATAAATCTGAACTATTTCTATTTTGTTGATTGTCTGGTTTCCAACATTCTGACACTTAATGGCGTATAGCATTATATACATGCATTCACACAAATAAATATACAGGGACTGAGTGCTGGAACCATACCTGGTAGCAGGGACAAGTGGGGAATATGCCGTGGTTACTTGATAATTTTATCCTTTTGACTCTGTTCTGTTTGTTCTCTTTCTCTCTCTTCTCTTTCTCTTGTTTTCTCTAGTTTTCCAGTAGTATTTTATATTGGAAACATTTTTCACAGCTTTGGGGTAGGTAGGTGCGGGGGATAAAGAAGTCCTTTACCTTGGACTGAGGAGGACACAAATTGGAAGGGGACACTTGGAGGAGGGGAGCCCCTGCTGTATGAAAGGCAGGGTTGAAAGGGTCTCCCAGGGAGACTGGGAGAAGAAGTAGGCTCCCAGGGTGAGTCTACCTCTCTGTATGTCGATAAATGACAGGATAGATTTGATATAAATATGGTCAAGGGCCTCACAGGTATTTTTTTTCTCTCCCCCCCATTTGTTTTTTTTTTTAATTCTTGTTCTGTAGACTAGTTTGATTCTGATTGTATTTTATCTCAAAAACTGTCATTATTTTTTTTTAAATAAAGCATACAAACAGGCAGTTGAATGCAGCCAAAAGTTGCTCAAAGAAAGTGAAACTATAAATACAGGACGTTTTTAAAAAAATGTTCCTTAAAAAAGGGTTTTTATCAGCCTTTTCAAAGTAAGTTATCTAACCCAAGAAAATGAGTTTTGCAAAGCCAGGGCTAGCATGGGGGGGGCACCATACATTATCAGCTTCCAAGGATCCTTCTTGTTGGGTAGGGACACAGTGCCTGTGTTCAAACATAGCAGCAAGCCATGGTTTGTTCTAACCATGGCTTGTTCAACAAACCACAGACATCTCGCAGATCAGCAAACAGCCCACTGCTTGTTGGGAATGCACACTTTCCCACTGCCTTTGTAGCCTCAAGCACAGGTTAGATTTGTGCTGATGCTAAATGGGGTTTCCATCTTTTCCCTTAAATAAATGTTTATTTATTATATGCAAATGCCAGTCTTTCAGGTTTGCAGCTGCTTAGCTTCAACCCTGCTACAGCCACACATTTTCCAAAATGATTCACTAGACTGCGGGGCTGCCATCTTGACCAAATTTAGAAGTGACCTGGGTTTGTAAACTTTGGCTAATGGAGAATCTGGTTACATAATGCTCTGGCTGGAGAGGGTGGGGTACAAATAAAATATTATTATTATTATCATTATTATTCAATGGTTAAGGCCCACAGTGGGGAGCAGAGGGGAGTCCACCTGGGAGGAAGGTTTGGGAGAGAGGGCACGTTCCCAGAGTTCGTTCCTTATTTGCAAACCATGGTTTGTAGGGAACCAACATTGTACCAAATCTGTTTGTCTGATATGTAGCATATTCATTTAGTCTCTTTCATGTGTGTGTGTGTGTCATGCCCTTACCCCCCATCTCACCAGTGAAATTGCATGAGATTCAGTGAATGATAAGTCAATATTTAAAAAGCACTTACTTTTAATTGAGTGATAGTCAAAAATAAGGACACAAATGCAGGCTTTCAGAAACATAGTCCTCACAATTGAATTCCCTCAATTGTTTATTGTTTTATTGAAGAGGATGCCATAAAGACACACATACTTTTATATACTTTATATCAGTCCCAAATCATAACATAGGAACTTCACGGAGCTACAGTTCCCAGAGTGGTTTAACATTGAACCCCTCTTCACAGGGAACTTGGGGAATAGTAGCTCTGTGAGGGGAATAGGGCCCTCCTGACAACTCTCAGCACGTCAACAAACTATAGCTCCCTTTGAGGGAAGCCATGACAGTTCAAGGTGGCATCATCGTGTTTTAAATGGCATGGTATGAATGTGGCCTCAGGCCTGCTCAGGCCCATCCCCACATCACCCTCAGTTCGGCCCATTTGAGGGTTTTCCCTCGTCCCTGCTTTTGCAGCTGAGAAGCCAGCTGAACTGGGACGGGGAGGTAATCCAGCCTCCACCCCAAACCGGCAGTTTGGATTCAAGCAACATTCCATTTCCTTTCCAACAGCATGCCTTTAAACTAGATTTTTTCTTATTGTGTGGTGCCTACAATTGAGCCAGATGAACTGGAGAGGCGAGGGTAGGAACCAAATAAGGAATTGAAAGTAGAATAAAGTCTCGTTGTCTTGCTTTGAATTAAATAGAAATCCTTTTCTTTCTTTCTCTCTCTCTCTCTCTCTCCTGCAGCAATCAAGCTCTGGGGATCTGAGGACTCTGAGGAAAGGGTTATCCCCGTACCATTCCGAGTCGCAGCTGTCATCACTGCCGCAGTATCAGGACGCCATGCAGAATGTAAGATGCCCGCATCGCTATCTACCTGGTGTAATTACGCTGATGGCAATCGTAAATTAGGGGAGAGAGGGAGACGGGAGCCTGACCCATGAATGCAAACATCTGGCAGGCTGGCTGAATTGATGCCAGCATTCTGCAAACACTGGAAAGCAGGAATCAAAACCAAGTGTTTGATTCTGGCATGTGTACACTCTGTGTCCTCTTGTTCTGTTTTCATGGGAGTCGTGAGAAACCAGTGCTGGCTATGAATAAGAACATAGGACAAGCCCTGCTGGATCAGGCCAGTGACCCACCTTGGCCATCATCCTGTCTTCACCAAATGCTTGTGGGGAAACTGCAAGCAGTATGGGAGCTCAAGATCACTTCACTCACTTGCCATACTGCCTCTGACACTCACATGATAGAAATGTTTAAAGGTAAAAGGTAAAGGTACCCCTGCCCGTACGGGCCAGTCTTGACAGACTCTAGGGTTGTGCGCCCATCTCACTCAAGAGGCCGGGGGCCAGCGCTGTCCGCAGACACTTCCGGGTCACGTGGCCAGCGTGACAAGCTGCATCTGGCGAGCCAGTGCAGCACACGGAAACGCCGTTTACCTTCCCGCTAGTAAGCGGTCCCTATTTATCTACTTGCACCCGGGGGTGCTTTCGAACTGCTAGGTTGGCAGGCGCTGGGACCGAACAACGGGAGCGCACCCTGCCGTGGGGATTCGAACCGCCGACCTTTCGATCGGCAAGCCCTAGGCGCTGAGGCTTTTACCCACAGCGCCACCCGCGTCCCCCGATAGAAATGTTTAAAATTATGCAATTGTGGATAGAGAAAAGTTTTTTTCCTCCCTCATAACACTAGAACTCAAACATCTAACGAGGCTGATAGCTGAGGCTCTTAACGATTTTTCTGCCTCTTGTAGCAATTGTAATGCGCCATGCTGGGTGCCGCACGATCTTTAATTGCGTTTCTAACCGCTTCTCTTATTCCTTATATATTGTATTTTATTGCATTGCGTGGAATTCAGATTGTAATACGATAGAAAGCAATGTAAGGAATAAAAGAAGCCATAAAAATACAATTAAAAATTGGTATGAATATTTAATGCCGGCGCCCGTCTTCTCAACTGCAGATCCACAGGCACGCTGCAGACGGCTGAAATGGAGCTCGCACACCGTGGTTTGGGAACCCCGGGCTGTAAACCCGCTTAATAATAGCTAGGTAAATAAATCAGTCACAAAAATCAGCAGCGCTACCCTGCAGAGCTGTAATTAATTTAAGAGAAACAAGTGTCGTTGTGGCACACAGTGCATTAAGTGTAACGTGTAGTTTGACCCTCAGCTGACAACCAGTGACACCTGGTGTGTTTGTGTGTGCACGCACATGTATTTCACGCATAAGATAAAAAAGGGTGACCTTGTGTAAAAGAAAATACCCTTTCGCGTAATTTAAGTAACTTTTGCTTGTGCCCTCGGTTCTTTTTGTTTAGGCTGGCAATGCATGGTCAATAAGCTCATGTGACTCAAGATTTTGCAGGGGTGACCCATTTGTATGATTCCATGACTTCCTTTACTTCCTCCCAGAGAACCCTTTTCCAGAGCAAAACATTTTCGTTGTTCTATCCTGGACACCTCCCTTTTATTTCCCATGACTCCTAGGAACTACTGGACACAATGTAATGGATGGCCTACACGAAAGCGCTTCAAAATGTTCCTCTCCCAAATGTTTACCAAGGACTTTTGGACGTTTCCACAGAGTTGCTGGTAAATGGGTGGATAAGAAGTGCTAACTGTGAAACTTCCCAGGAGCTTCCCATCAATAGAGAGGTTACACATGATCTAAGAAATGATAAAAAGGCAAGAACACAAGCGCTGCTTATCTGTCACGGCTGGAACGTTTTGAAACTTAAGAAGTTTTGCAACTTTTCAGTTTTAAGGAGTAAACTGGGGCTGATGGGATGGGAGTCCAAAATGCCTGGAGGTTACCAGGTCAGGGAAGGCTGATCTAGCCAATCAGAATACTAGGTTGCAGGTGACTCGGAGGTTTGGCTTATACATGATGTGGCCCTTACAGAGAGAGAGAGAGAGCCTCAAGGTCCATAAATAGCAACACCCTAGTGGTCCTGGGCCCTAAGGAAGTTAGATTGGCTTCAACCAGAGCCAGGGCCTTTTCAACACTGGCTCCGGCCTGGTGGAACGCTCTGCCTCATGAGACCAGGGCCCTGCAGGAACTGATTTCTTTCCGCAGGGCCTGTAAGACAGAGTTGTTCCGCCTGGCCTTTGGCTTGGAGCCAATTTGATTCCCTCCCTCCCTCTCTTCTTTTTTCTTTTCCTTCTCCTCCTGCAATGAGGCTACATTTTAATATTTTAATGTTCCATTATTTTAATGCTGTATTTTATTTTTGTTTTTAAGTTGTAATCATTCTTCTTGTTTTTATTATTGCTTGCAAGCCGCTCTGAGCCCGGCCTTGGCTGGGGAGGGCGGGGTATAAATAAAAAATTATTATTATTATTATTACTACAGGGAAGAAGTATCTTGTTCTGAATCTCAAACTCCTCAGACATGCGTGAACTGTGCTTAGTCTGTAAGTCCAGTTCCCTGAGCTTTTCCTTTCCTTCCCTCCCTCCCTCCCTCCCTTCCTTTCCTGAATGTTGTGTTGAGTTTTCGTAACACGTAAGATAGAAAGCGATTAACATAACAACAAATAACAAAAATAACTATAGTTACAATTGCCCTCTCTGCTTGCTCATTTTACCTTGGCTCACGTAACACTAAAAAAGCATATAGCCATAAAGTAGAGGCTGGACTCCAAGAGCTGTGATTCTGTTGATAGGAGATAGAATCATAGAATTGTAGGGACCCCAAGGGTCATCTAGTCCAGTGTTTCCCAACCTTGGGCCTCCAGCTGTTTTTGGACTACAACTCCCATCATCCCTAGCTAGCAAGACCAGTGGTCAGGGGTGATGGGAATTGTAGTTCAAAAACAGCTGGAGGCCCAAGGTTGGGAAACACTGATCTAGTCCAACCCACTGCAATGCAGGAATCTCAGGCATCCATGACAGGTGGCCATCCAACCTCTGCTTAAAAACCTCCAAGGAAGGAGAGTCCACCACCACCCGAGAGAGATTATTCCACTGTTGAACAGCTCTTACTATCAGAAAGTTTTTCCTGATGTTTGGTGGGAATCTCCTTTCTTGTAACTTGAACCCATTGGTTCACGGAGCAGGAGAAAACAAGCTTGCTCCATCCACCATGTGACAGCCCTTGGAATATCTGAAGATGGCTATCATATCTCCTCTCAGTCCCCTCTTTTCCAGGCTAAACATACCCAGCTCCTTCAACCGTTTCTCTTAAGTCTTGGTTTCCAGACCCTTGACCATCTTGGTCGCCCTCCTCTGCACACATTCCAGCTTGTCAACATCCTTCTTAAATTGTCGCAGCTCTACCTTGCTGGGCAAGCCACTTCTGGCATGGTGCCACCACACTGTTCTGATAGTTAACCCAAAAGTTAACTGTTCTGATAGTTAACCCAAAAGGGCAGCTGTATAGAAAGCCAAAGATCCCCTCTTCTCATACTAGTAGATCCTGATATTTGATCAACATTCAAATATGCATACCAAGCACTGTTTAAAATGGCACAAGCCAGATAAATCTTTACCACGTGATTCTGATGGTTGTGCAACGGGGCCCTGAGCATGGTTAATATCTACCCCAGCATTCTTCCTACTGAGGAAATGCTTGTTCCACTTGGCAAAGTGCTCTTCTCTGTTTGGAAGCTTGATGTCTTGATATTTGTTGGAAGCACAACATCAAGCTCTCTTACTGTGCAACTTAAGGGTTAATTCTGCTAGTGTTAAAGTCAACTAGCCAAGGAGGGTGGGAGGGTGGTGCTTAACAAACAGGCAGAGTGGCAGCATGCTCATTGAGCCAACACAAGCTCTGATTGGCTCTGCAGTGCTGAGGGAGATTTTCCTCTGTATGCTTGATTGAATTTCTTCCAGCTGTTTACAAAGTTTGAACTAAGAAAGGGGGGGGGATTCTCTGTTGCTTTCTCTTCAAAGTATACTCTGCTTTAGTTCTGTTAGTTCCGTTAAAGTGTTATCAGGTTCCTTTTTCTCTCTCGACTCCCATCTGCATTATTCAAGTGTCTTTGCTAACAATATTAGCCCATAGCTCCAGCCTTACTCCTTAACAAGAAAAACCATATGACACTTCCTCACTCAAGTATATCTGAAGTTGCCTTTCAATGACAGGTGATATATAAGAAGAAAATAGGTAACCTAATAAAATAGTTGCGATGAGCCTCGACTCACAGTCTTGCAAGAGCTCATATCTGCTTTGTAGTCTTAGGGAGCTAGCATGATATATAGGCCTCTGCTGGTGCACATAATAAAGTCATTTTAAGGAAGCCATTCTCCAAATCATAAGAGATAATGAAACTCCTGGAGAGGGGAAATGATCAGTCTTTAAAAGGCTATGGGAGGGGACCATTTTTCTTGCAGAACTGAAAAACCAAATTGAAAGCATTACCATACAAATGAGCCTCTCACACCATCAGGAAAGTAGCGGGTGGGTGTCCAGTCCTTGCAAACAGGATGCTGTAGGACACAAAACTACTCATTACGCTGTGGATCTGCTCACAAGCCACTTATTTCTTTTTCTTTTCTTTTTTTTTTTTGTAAGAGGATATGTTGGATCAAAAACTACTTCTGCAAATAAGTAAATAAACAATGGAACTTCCGTCTTTGAATTCTCTTGTTGCCAAGTCTCAGCAGTGCCATCCCAATAAATAATCAGGCATAAACAAATGGCCACTCAATTGCTAAATAATCATCCTGCTCTTTCTTCATTCTGTCATATAGCAAGGGTGCGCAGATTTCAAGCTCGGAAGCTACCAACCAGAGCCGGGTCCAAAAGACATACACTAAGAATTAAAAGAGTTCTGAGCCCGGTTCCAGAACTGAAAGTGATCTTACAGTCCTGTAGGGCTGAGAAAAGGTCCCCATCCTCTGCCT